AGAAAGCCATTGAAAATCCATCCGGCCCCGGAGCTTTAGATCTATCCATCGAGAATATTGCTTCATGTATCTCCTCAATAGTGAAGGCTCTTTCTTTCTAGGAGATTAACTTCGGATTCTGGCACTCTGTCCCACTGTAAATCTCCCAATTCTGCAATGTTTTCATCAGAGGATGCTAGGATTGACTTAAAATGATCCACAAAGCATCTTTCAGTTTCCTCTTTTGCAGTTACTACTCTTGAAAGTCTTATTGTGCTATTCCTGATTCTTGTCTGAACTATAAAATGTGAGTAAAAATTTTTAACTTATATTTTTATTCTTGAAAGGCTGATGCTGTCCTTTCAGCAACATCCCATCAAGTGAAGCCCGCAGCCGCTAAATCAAAAGGAGGCTCTTTTGACAACAAAACTACTACAGGATCGATGAAACTGGTCATGGCTGGAAGTGGATGTGAAAATGTTGATAGGGTTGAACAGGTGAGAGATCCTCCTCTAGATTCAATTACTATGTTCCCATTTCTCAATACCTCTGTTGGTGTTTCAAGTTCTCTGATTTTTTAATTATGGATTTGCTGAAATTAGTTGATTACATGGTCCTATTCCAGGTTTTAGAACAATTATGTGGTGATGTAGATGCTGCAATAGAGTTTTTAATAGCAACACAAAGAATGGATGGAGATTCAGTTGAAAATGATCAACTTTCTTGCGGAAATGGTACATCCCTCTAGTGTATGTGGGTGTTGATACTTTTTGACATTAATAAAATCCATCACATTACTCTTCAAAAAAAAAGTCTTGTGAAAATTGTGCTTATGTAAATGGCTGATTGGCATCTTCTGCAAATTCCTGACACTCTGATAGTAGTAACAGAGTCCATGTTTCTTTTGGTTTTCATGTTGAGGTGATCACAGTCTTGTTCACTAGTTTTAGACTTCCTTTCTTGCTTCTCAGGTATTGCTAACAAGGGAAGTCTTCCTTTCACTAAGCACAATGTTTTAAAAGGTATGCCTAGGCTCATGGGTGAAGTTCATTCTGTGGGGTGCATTTCATCCAAACCTAGGTGCACTTCAAATATCTCATTGCTATGTTTTGATGAACTAAGCTTGAATTTGGTGTTTTAATAGGTAAATTTTAGAGTTTAAGCAGTTTAGCCTTCTTTTCCAAAGGTTGTAACCTATTTAGGACTTCAGTCTACAAAGCTGTGACCTTAATAACATGGTGACTTATTATGGGTTTTCTGTGGCCCTGCCTCAGCCATGGATGTAACAGGTGCTATGTCTAATATCCGTGCTCTACTGGAAGGTTTTAGAATTGCCAGGAATCAGCAGATTACATGATTACATGCTTAGAAGTGGAAGGGGACTCAAGAGTAGTCATTAGTTGGGCCACTGCCCAAGTTTCTGGACATTGGAAGCTCTCCCACTTTCTACTGGAAATCCATGAGTTGGTTTATTCTATCAACTGCAGCGTCAGATGGATCCCCAGAGATCTGAATCAGGTTGCAGATAGTCTAGCTAAATCTGGGTTGGAAAGGGATTTTTTGTACAGTGGAAATACTTAGCCAAATGCTTAATATGGGCCTGGCTCATTTTTTGCTTTCAAAGCCTTTGATCTTGTACATCCCTATATTTTTTGTTTAATGAAATTGCTATCTTTCTTCTTCTTCTTCTTCTTCAAAAAAAAAAAGGATTTACATATTCTTCTATCAAGTTTTTTCTTTTGTTTTTCAATTTTCATAAGTGGTGCCTCACTTTGTTCAGGAGTTGTCTCTCTTCATGCTTCAGGCTTTAGGAACCCTATGCACTTCAGTTGCATTTCTCACTTAAAACACTGACATATGGGGATTCTTCATTTTTAAATAATACCATGGCATCATCTTTCTTTTCTTTTAAGATAAAACAAAAGGAATAAAGGGAACTGTAGTAGAATGGTTGGGGTTTTCTTGTCCCTAGAAATGTCCTCCCTAGATGATTAAAGCTTTTGCAAGGACACTCCAGTGTGTGTTCAATGGAAGCTATCTGGATTGTAACTTTTAAATTAAAAGTTATTCAAAAGAATTGTGGGGTTTAAGTTCTGATGGAAATCACAAAGAGACAAGGAATCACAAGGAAGGTATTCAGAAGAATCACAAGGATGCCTATGTTACTTGGATATGAAAAGGACACAGCTGGATAAGGTATTGGATACAAAATTTACACTAACAATTTAAGATCTGACATGATATGGAACCCTTGTACAGGTATCTGGGTATCATAGGACACTCTACATGGGTGTTGTCTACATATGGCTGCTAAGTTTGGAAGGGTATTCAGAAGACGTATAGTCAGTTGATGAAAGGTATAACCTACAAGATAGGTAATTGTGAGACTTGAGAGAGTTAGATTGTGGCTGGATTGTTGGTCTGATTAAAGGCCTCTTTCAGTTATCCAGATTTCTTTGCAATTGCAGATGACAGAGGCTGTGGTGGCTCATTATTTTCAGAGGGAGAATGGTGCACTTTGGAAACCTTGGTTTCATACATATTTGCATGATTTGTTGATTCATGAAACTGCTATCCTTCTTTTCAAGCCCCAAGGAATGCATAGGTTTAGCCTTGAATGATTGTAGAAGGTGATGATGGGGGACAAGTGGTTTCTTTTCTATCAGATCTTTTGCTGAGCACCTGATGCCAGTTGGTAGTCCATCTTTCCCCTGATGTGATGTGGCGTATGCCAGCCCCTTCCAAATTTGCCTTCAAGATGTGGACAGAAGCACTTGGGAAGTGCTTACCAGAGGTAAATTCATCAGCAGAGGAATGAGCATTTTTAATCCAGGATGCACCATGTGTAATTGGGAGCTTGAAAAAGCAGATCATCTTTTTATCCACTGTCCTGTTGCTCATAGAGTCATCTTTTCAAAGCACTTAACCTGCATTGGACTTTTCCAATATCTGTAAAGGAACTATTGGATGGGTGGAGGGTAAAAGGTTTAAACAAGAAAGGGCGGCATGTCTGGTGTTCCATGATTTGAACTATTTGGATGGAAAGGAATGCAAGAGTTTTTGAAGGGAAAAAGCTCTTGAGTATAGGAAATCATCAAGAATGCTGTGGGGAGAGTGTTTTCTTGGGTGTTGATAGGTAAGGATTCAAAGATGTCCCCAAAAAAATTCTGATGGAAATCTATGGACCTAAAAATAACAAACAAGATAGGGAACTAAATGAAGAACTGCATATAGGAAAGCGTTAGGGCCATTACAATAATAAACTTGAGGGATTTCTCCAATTTCTCCTGGCCCACTATCAGAAAAGCAGTAAAGCTCCAATTTGGTAGTAGCTCTCAGGGGAACCCCAGCCCAGCAGGTGCTGGTGGACCTTCTTTAAACAGGGATGGAAGCAAAAGCATTTGATGGGCTTATAGTGGCCCCTTGGGCAACTGAAACTTAACCAAGGCTGAGGTACTTGCCTTCCTCACAGGGGCCCAAGTGTCTTCATCTTGCATCTCATGGTTCTAGCAGAGATTGTCCAACACTGTGATAAAGCAACGGATTGGATCAGTGTCCATGGAGGCTTACTGGTTATCTTAATGAGATCGGGAAATATTAGTGTCTGTCAATGTGCAAATCAGATGGATACTGAGGTGGTCGAATGCTACTGCAGACTGGTTGGCTAGATCAGGTCTCAATGTAGAATTTTTGCATAGAGAAAGCTCAATGTTTTAGTAGCTTCCTGTTTGGGGGGTTGGGCTGTATATTCCTTTTGTATACTATTTCTTTCTTTCTTTCTTTTTTATCAGCATTCCTTTTGTATACCATTCTTTATCCTCTCTGGCAAAATCCTTCCTGTTGTTAATACAATACTATTACCTTTGAAATGATAATGGTTATGATTAGAATAGGAATATGCGAGAATTAAAACAGGGTAGAAATTAGAATATGAATACTGTGGGAATGTATGTGCTCTTAAACAAGCTCTAAGAAGTGAATATTTCAGCATCTGAGAGGTGAAAGATGATGGGAAGATTGCAGCAATGGAAGTTTTACAGTCAAGTCTCTTACAACACTATTACCTGAAACCAAGTGGAGAACTCTAATATCAAAGGTATTTGGAAGAATCCTGTTCCCCCAAGGGTGGTGGGGAAGTTTTTGCACGGGCTGGTAGCAATGGTTAGAATGCTATTTTCAGACTACCTGAAGAATAGAGGAGTCAAAATGGCCAGCATACCCACCGTGTCACATCGGTTGTGAAAATGTTGACCATTTATTCATCTGTTGCAGGGCGGCAGGCTCTCTTTGGCATTTTTTTCCTCCTCCCTGTATAGGTTTCAGCTTCATCATCATAACACTCCTTGGGAGATATTTTCTATGTGGCTGAAGATTCATGCCAGCAAGAAGGCAAACATTTTTTTGGAGCTGTATTCCATTTGCTTTGTTGGAGACTATGGAAAGAAAGAAAAAAAGGCTATTTAAGGATAAATCTGGAATCTTTGTGAGATTATGTGCTGACATTGGAAAGGAAATAGTAGCTTGGGTGCTGATACTTCTAGATTTTAATGATGTCAACAGATCAGATTTTAGGGAAATTTTTGGAAAACTATTGAAAGGCCCAACGCTGTATCTAGTAGCAGTTAAAATTGTACTAGGGTGTTAGATGATCACCCTTTTTCTGATATACTGTTTTATTTTCTTTTAATGATTTTTCCTTTTTACTATAAAAAAAAGAATATGTGGGAATTAGAAGAAAGTGATTACTTTGAGATGTAAAGTAAATATACTTAATTTCTTGTCTATAGGACCATAAATAGAGCTGGAACTCAGAGGAAGTTTCAATTGAATAGTCTAGAAAACAGAGATGGCAGCTTGCTGCTTATTCTTGTTTTACTAAAGAATAATGAAGACAATGACACAAAAGGACCATAATGAAGTGGCATGGAGTGGATAACCACAAATGAAGATGTTGAGCATAAAATTTATTAGTTAGTGGAGGTACTCTGACTTCGATTAGCATTACATAGGTACTCTGATTAACATCTTGGCTTTTTTTGTACATATATAAATACATCTTCATTAAATACTTTATTATTCATCAACAACAACAACGACAACAACAACAACAACAACAGCAATAGTAGTAATTTCATTCAAACTTTTAATTGTAAATGGAATGGTGCAATATTGTTTTCCTTTTGAGGTTAAGGCTTTTATTCCCCCCCGGGTGCCTCTTCTGATATTAAGCGCAACTTTTAGTCTTTTAGTATTTAAATAATAGCACCAGTCCACTTTAGTCTTTTGCTTAAAAAAGTTAGTGAGCTCCCATTGTCATCCTTAAGATAGAAATCTAATATTCTTTTTTTACTTGCATATTTGGTAAAGATTATGGTCATTGGTCACTATGTAATTTGAATTATGCTATTGGGACTTTTTTTTTTTTTACCTTCTAGGTTTTTCACCATGTAATAATATATACATGTATTCCCAGGTCATGGAGGCAGTGAGCAGTATGAGAAGGTAAACGAAAATGAGATATGTGAAAAAGATAAACCTAGTACTGATATTAAGTCCGTTCAAAATGATACAAGATCACGTCAGGATGACAAGGTTAAACTTTACATGCCATGTACAACAGTCCTTTCTCACTCTGGAGGTGTTTTGAGCTTATCTTTATGGATTCTTGATAACCAACTTTGTTTTTAATCTTTTTCCTGGTTCCTGCAGAAAATCCCAAGAAACAAGGTGTGCCCTTGTGGTTCAAAAAAGAAGTACAAGGCTTGTTGTGGGTCAGTCGCATCGAAATCCTCTGCTGAAGTTGTAATGTATACTTCTTGAAATCCTCTTAGCTTTTTCCTATGTTAAGCCATTCAAACTTGGTAATATATAGAAACTGCAAATCCTCTTAGCTTTTGTATACTTCTTGAAATCCTCTTAGCCTTTTCCTATCAGGTTGATCATTGATTTTTATGAGGAGAATATATAGAAACTGAAACACCTCCTCCCTCTCAAATAAACAGAATAGTAAAGAATCAAGGTGTCGTCTAGGCAACAAGGCACTCTTGGTTAGATGCCTCCAACGAATGCCATGACTAATATAAAAAAAGGTCTGTCTAGGCAACTAGACACCTTCCTAGGCAACAAATATCACAAGGCAAGTGCCTCATTGTAATATTATTTATTATCACAGCTGCATATTATTACTATGTTAATACATCCTATCATATTCAAATATTATGTTATACCATTTATGCTTTGTGATTTTCCCATAAAATTGATAAAACATAACAGATTTAGGGGTTTTAAGATGAGAAAAATAAAGGAGGATGAAGAGTTCTATTTTTAACTCCTTTTTTCTTAGTTACTTTCTCTCTCACATTAAATTGAAAAGTACTCTGCCCCTTGTTCTTTTCCCTTTCATTGATCTCTCTCTCTCTCAAAAATTTTTAGTTAGTATAAAACTATAGCATTTTTCTCATCTTAATAATTTTTTGACCTGCAATTGCTCTATTAAATACTTATTTTGTTGTAGCATTGTGTTTGGAATATTAAAATTCTATTCCCTTTTAAATGCGATGATTTGTAAAATGCATTGTTATGTAAAATTAGAGAACTAATGTTACTAGTAAAATGCATTGTTATTTTTCCAAACTTGGTGTATTTCTGTGAGAAGAAGCATACCTATTTTTATTGTTGGGCTCTATCTCAGCAGCCAAAAAGGTGCTTCTGGCACAAATAGAAAAGAAAGAAAGCAGGGCAAGAAATGTGGGTCAATCAAATCTGCACCTTCCAGTGAATGTAGTGAACCACCGGATGTGGGTGCACTTTGTATCTGAGCAATGACTCTGAGGTATCTACATGGCTGCTGACTATTCTGCATTATCCGAAAGGACATTCCTTCCTGCACATGGTCTAGTAAATTAATTTCCTCTCGGTCTCCCTAAGCGGATGGTATTCATGATGTCAACACTGGTAGGAAACATTGTTTAACGCTGAACTGGTACTTGCAGGTCAGGTATGAATGCTGTAATAAGTATTATTTTTTCAGTGTGTTTGTCTACTTGTCATTGACGATGGCACTACAATTGTTGTGTTCTTTGTCTACATTTGATACTTGTCTAAGAGATATGGATACAAAGTGTAGCATATCTGACCTATACATACTGAAGTTTACAATCTTCTATTACCAAAAAAAAATATATATTCTTCACCAAAACATGCTCTATTCTCGCCTTGACTAGTAATGGCCCCAAATTGTGCTATTGCCTCTTGTTGCATAAACATGACAAATATTAAAGGAGAAAAGAAAAAAGGAATGAATTTGTGCTTTTGGAGAAGAAAGGAATACCGGAACTGGAAGGTTAATTACAATGGATGGTGATTAGCTTTTTAGATCCCGTATCGCATGGGTTAAATCGGTAATTGAGCAACTTTTCCGTGTTCGAGAACCGTTATAATGGTTCCCATGGAAAATGTACTTTCCGGAGGGTGGGTACCGAATCCGGATCTCTTGCCCACGTTTATCTCTGCCACACATGGAGAACATCTCATCCTCTGCATAGTATTATGCAGGGAGAGAGATTCCCAATTCACGGAGGGTAGTGTGTTGTGGGTAGACGTGGGCAGGAGATCCAAACTCGTGGATACCCACTGGAATCGTTGATCATCTCCTACCTCAGTCTTTACATGGGTAAGTGGAAATGCAACTGAACATTTGCATTTAGCACGGAAATTTATTAAGGCAACTCTTGCTCAGGGAAGTGTGTTACCTGGATACCAAAAAACTAAGGGATAATAACTTTTTCAGCCCACCACAATTCTTAGTCCCACTGTACAGGTGGGATGAATCTTGACTGTGAATTGATGCTAAATCCACAGGCAAGATGTGATTTATAGTGGGGGGGGGGGCTACTACTTAATTTCAGAATTTTATACCTAAGTTAGTAAAAGAAAAAACCAATACTGCTAGAAAGACATGATACTAAAAGGCTTTTGTCCAATCAAACAACCCCTGCTGAATTTTGATAGATCCCACTTAATTGGTTACCACTTACTCTACTAAAATCTCAACCTAAACGTTTCAAGCCTCGTCATGTGAGGCATGTCCCAAACTCCCAAATAAAATATACATTTTATAATTTTCTGCTATTTTTTCCATATGGCTACAGAACTAATTTTCCCCAAAATCCATAATCAATCCCCTAAATTCTGGTGAAGGCAGGATTTGATCCCTCTAACCAAGAACCAAGTAGAGACCTTGTCAATAAACCAATTGGCACTTTCGTAATTTCCTGCTAATCAGTATCAGCCAAATAACCAATTAGGGGTGCAAATGAAATGGATCATGGTTATGTATGTATGTATAAGTTATTTATTTAGTTGTGATATCTTTGTGTTGCGTTTTTTGTAATTTTTATAAAGATAATATATATAATAAAAATAATTGAAAAATATTTGTATTTTTTGTTTCACTTTATGTAAAGTGTTTAAATTTTTTCGTTTTAATAGTTCATTAAATTTTAATATCCAACATCCTTTAATAGACTCGAATTCAAATTGACCTTTTGCGAGATCCGATTGAGTCATCAGGTCGATCGGATTCGGATACATCCGATTTGAACTCGATCCGATCCGTTTGCATCTCCATACCAGTAGCTGTTCTGTTTTAATCGGAGAAGGAAAAAACATCTGTCACGTGAAAGGCCAGAATCCTCTACACAAACCGGACGATACTGGACCAATCACAATGTAACATCACCATGCACCCTGACGTACGGTACGCATATTTACGGTTTGAGCGGTGTATATCGTAAATTGCCCAGCATTACGTGTAGAACGTAGACGATTAATCCAACTCTTAGCAAATCCGGAGTCCAGATACCGCCGGGATGGATTATTACTATTTATACGAGTTTACGGGCAATATTTCCTGTCTTGCTCTTTGTTTCATCTAAAAACTCTCGTCTTCCCGGGGTGAGACATAGCAACAATCCAAGGCAGACAGAGAGAGAGAGGGAGAGAGAGAGAGATCGGGGACAATAAGAAGCGGGGGCAAACCCTAAATTTGTTGTTTGGTGGTTAGGCAGCCATGGAAATTGCAGCCGCACCATCAACCTCGCACGACAGCGAGAGAGACAGGAACATTATCTCGGTTGAGAGCTTCGATGGTTCGTCTTCTTCCCTTTCTAGTCCCGTGAAAACCGAGAACAACATACCTAGCAAGTACGACGAAGAGGACGATGAAGAGGACGTTTGTCGGATTTGCCGAAATCCCGGCGATGCCGAGAACCCTCTTCGGTATCCCTGTGCTTGTAGTGGAAGTATCAAATACGTGCACCAAGATTGTCTCCTCCAGTGGCTCAATCACAGCAACGCTCGCCAGTGTGAGGTATGTTTTTGCCTCATCGCTCTTGTTTTTTCAGGCGCTTGCTTTATTTGTCAGTTTTTCCGAGGTATTTATTTTTTAGGTGGAGTGATCTATTCTCTGTAATTTTCTTTTCCCTTTTTGGTATTCGCCTTTGAATTGTTTCTGAACATGCATTTTTATGAGTGTTCCATTTTCTTGAGAGGTTAGATGATGAACGTGAGGGCGGGGGAGGGGGGTAAGAATTTCATGTTATGAAGTTTGAGTTGTTATAGTTCCTAAAAATGGAATGCTCATGACGCGATCTGGATATGGATAAATGTTTTGGTTTCTCTCCCTTTCTGATGACAATTAACGACCTTTAGCAATTAAGTGGATGACGGAATTATCCTTTTTCAAATGATAAATAGACTGCAAACCATCATATGTTCAAGGCCTACTAGACTTGGGGCTGCCCTTCTGTGATGACGTATCTTGGTTTCCGGTAACTTAGATAAATTCAACTCTTCATTTAGATAACAATTTTAGGTGTTTGGAATTTGCTTTTTCTGTCTCCTTAGTAAGGGATCACAAAGATCAAGTCAAAATGGAAATACGGGCTCAATGTAATATTTTTAAGACGGCAAGTAGACGTTATTTCGGAACATTCTTGGTAGAGCTGTCTAGTTGTGTGTGTTTGGATCTTATTTTGCAGTTTTTATCAATAACGTTGAATTTTGAATAGCAAGGGATCACTTTTTGCTTTTGATACATGACAGGTATGCAAACATGCATTTTCTTTCTCTCCTGTTTATGCTGAAAATGCTCCAGCAAGGCTTCCTGTCCAGGAATTTATAGTTGGGATGGCAATGAAGGCCTGCCATGTTCTTCAGTTCTTCTTGCGCCTTGCATTTGTGCTATCTGTTTGGCTCCTCATCATACCCTTCATTACATATTGGATTTGGAGACTGGCTTTTGTGAGGAGTCTTGGTGAAGCTCAGAGATTATTCCTGAGTCATATGTCCACAACAGCTATCCTTACTGACTGTCTCCATGGGTTTCTACTTTCTGCTAGCATTGTTTTTATTTTTCTGGGAGCTACTTCTTTGAGGGATTACTTTAGACATCTGCGAGAGCTTGGGGGGCAGGAGGCTGAAAGAGAAGATGAAGGTGAAAGAAATGGTGTGCGTGCTGCAAGAGAAGATGTTGGAGTACAAGGTATTGCTGGTGCTGGTCAAATAATTAGAAGGAATGCAGAAAATGTTGCTGCTCGGTTGGAGATGCAGGCTGCACGCCTTGAAGCACATGTTGAACAAATGTTTGATGGTCTTGATGATGCTGATGGCGCAGAAGATGTACCTTTCGATGAGCTTGTTGGCATGCAAGGTCCTGTTTTTCATTTGGTTGAAAATGCATTTACTGTGAGTCTACCTTCTCTGCTTAATTCTAGATCCTTATTTTTCTGATACACCGGTGTTTCTGTTCTTTTTGTCAGTAGCTTTTAATTGATCTTTAACTTAATGGGATTTTTAATTTGTTTTCTTCTACATCCTGGGCTCTGGAAGAGTACAGCAGCAATCAAGGTTTAAAATGTCAATTTCAATGGAAGTGTCCACCACTTAAAAATAAGAAATAATTTGGAGATATAAAAAATTTGTATATTTTCGTAAAAATTTTATAACATTTTAAGTATCAAATATCAGTTTATGAAATATTTGCTAATATTTTTAAAAATTATAAGTCATTTCCTTTTAAATGATTAAATCATTTTAAAGTGAGATGCTTCTAAAATGATTATACCATTTCAAGATGGCCTCTTCCACTACTTGGAATAAACTTAAGGGTTTAAAACTGATTATATAGTGAAAGGTGCTAACCAGCTGGTCGGTAAGGTCTCCTGCTGGTCGTAGCAGAGGCTTGGGATGGGCTACCTCCCATTGTGTAGCTCTTCAGAAGAAATAAAAAAAAATGATTATATAGTGTCTTTTTGATCAGTAACTGAATGTTTATTGCTTAAAAACAGAATTTTACATTGGTAATGTACAAGAATTACATGATATGTTTAAAAACTTGAAAGTAGAGTGACCTCAATCCTGATACTCCAAGTTACCTTTGTCAAAACTATTTTTCATACATTTATCCCCCCCCCCCCCCAAGAGGTCTGACACCCAAAATAGCTGGCTGGCTTCTTTGGATTTCTGGCCTAGCAGAACATTGACTAGGCTGTTAGCATACCTCTTTACCCAACTGAAATTAATTATCAATTCTCTTATAATCTGTGTTCTTGTATTTTTAAGGTCCGTTTTTTTTACTTCAATCCAACCAACCCAATACCATCTTGGTATCACCAATCACCATGTTGTCAAAATTTAGTGGTTTAGACAATTTGATACCATGAAGGACAACCATAAATTTGGCTCTTGTCAAGTTTGATACCATGAAGAACAACCATAAATTTGGCACTTGTCAAGTTCCAATTTCCCATTGTCCCCAAATATAAGTAGAGGAAGAGGCCTTGACTATCTCTAAAGATACCCCTATTTCCAGACTGTCCAGTGTTGCCTAAACTGCATCTGTCAAAATTCATTTTGACCATACATTGTGATGGTGGAGTCTCAATCGATGAGTATTTTGTTTCTTACCAGAGGAGCTTGAGCCACCATTCCAACATCTAATCATTTCAATAGTCGAGAAATTTGCAAAAGTATCCATTGTCTTAACCCAATTAGCAACTTGCACCGAAATATTCTCTATTATTGTTTCCTTTTCTGTCTTGGAAAATTGTTGTATAGTATTGGCTGTTGATATTTTAGTCATAAATATTACTTTATTATATTACCTTTAATATAAAAGTTATGATTTGCATATCTATATTTTTTTAACTATCACATTGTTAATAAGAGTTTAAAATATTGAAGCAATGGTTAAATTATATATATTTTTTGAAATATTTCATAAAGGAAAATATAATGGGTTTAAAGATGGTTAGAACAAATTATTTGGATGATATCTATGTTTATGTAAATTGAAAGCTTTATATCAAAAAAGTAAAACTTGTTGAGAACAATATGTGCATGATTTCTACATAAGCAATTTTTCCCCTCTGTTTCTATTAACTTTTTTTTTATATCTTCTAAAGGGCTACACAACAGGGGGTAGCTGATCCCCCAATCCAGGTGCAGGCAGGATTCACTCCCAAGTCTCCGCTACGACCAGCAGGAGACCTTACCAACCAGCACCTTGCTCTGTTTCTATTAACTCTGCAATAATTAGGACATTATGGGAGGTAATAGATGGAGCATTTTTGACATAATCCCCTCCTCCCCCAATGGTCCAATTTCTTTCTCCTTGTGCACTTGAGGGGGGGGGATTGATTTAACATATGTGTAGTTGCAAAATATGAGTTACAATTTTGAACTCAGTTAATAGAATCACAGGGGGGGGGGGCTGAATTAGTGGGAGTCAAAATATGGGTTCTGATCTTTAAATGGTAAAATCTGAGGCTGATACGTGCTAGAATGTGGGTTTGAGTCTAAGATTAGCCACTTTTTTGAAGGATGGGTGGAATTTATACACTTAGAAACCAGGTTTTTTATGTTTCAGAATTATACAAATAGAAAGGGGTGGGGGCGGGGTGGGGGTGATCTTTTCACCCTTTTATCTACCAGAAAACTTCCATGATTACTCAGTGCACAATAGTGTATTTCTGTTCAAATTTTGAACTTACCTGAAGAGAGGGTTGCAGATTCCATTCTGATTGTTCCTACCATTTTGGATGGTCTTTTAATAACATTATAGGGGATTATTGTATACTTGTCTATATATTGTGAGCTTTCAAAGAGGAATAAGAGAAAAAGAAGGAATTTTCCATGCTTTTTCTAATTTTTTTCTGGATCTTCCACAGGAAGTTTTATTAGATTAGAGAGGTGAAATGTTCCTTACAAAGCTATGTCTTTCTACTTTTTGTGACAGTTTTTCAATCTTTTGACGACACTCGTTGCCTCTGAAATTGCCACTAGTGATTTACAATGTTGTATTTATGGTTTAGCTGGAACTTGAAAAACAAGTAATTGTTTTGTGCCTGTTGAATACTTGAATTACACCATGTGGGTATGCTAGCTTATTTTTTTTCTTCCATTGTTCAGGAAGCTTTATTATATGAATATTCCTAATTGTTTTTTCTCTATACAGGTTCTAGCAAGCAATATGATATTCCTTGGTGTTGTAATATTTGTGCCATTTTCGCTAGGCAGGATTGTCCTCCATTACACATCTCGGCTTTTTTCTTCAGCTACAAGCCCAGTGTTGTCAACTGGCATGCCACTTACAGAGTCAGCCCTCTCGTTGGCAAATATTACATTGAATAATGCAGTAACTGCTGTTACAAATTTGTCATCTGAAAGTTACAAGGATGGTCTGCTTGGTCATGTTGTGGAAGTGGTTGCAGAATCATTGAATGCGAGCATGGCTACTATAGATGAAGCCTCAAACAGTCTTAGCAAACCAGTTTCAGCTGATCTCTTCAGAGGGGTTACTGTTGGAATGTCACGCCTCTCTGATGTTACTACTCTTGCCATTGGGTACTTGTTTATATTCTCTCTGGTCTTCTTCTACCTTGGAATTGTTGCTTTGATTCGTTATACCAGGGGTGAGCCTTTGACTATGGGGAGGTTTTATGGTATCACGTCCATGGCAGAAGCAATTCCATCCCTTGTCAGACAATTTTTGGCAGCAATGAGACATTTAATGACTATGGTTAAGGTTGCTTTCCTTTTGGTGATTGAACTTGGGGTTTTCCCTCTTATGTGTGGGTGGTGGCTTGATGTTTGTACCTTAAGGATGCTTGGAAAAACAATTTCCCGGAGGGTTGAGTTCTTTTCAATCTCTCCCCTAGCAAGCTCTTTGTTACATTGGGTTGTAGGAATCATATATATGCTCCAAATAAGCATTTTCGTCAGCCTTCTCCGAGGGGTATAAATATAATCCTCTAACTTCTGGTCATGCTTATGTCATTATTTTTGTAATGTTGGTGATCTTGTCTCCTTTCTTATGATGTAATCAACAATTTAGCATCCTGCTTGTAATAGGTCTTGCGCAATGGAGTTCTATACTTTCTTAGGGACCCTGCTGATCCAAACTACAATCCATTTCGTGACCTAATTGATGACCCTGTGCACAAGCATGCTCGTCGAGTTCTATTGTCTGTGGCTGTTTATGGGAGCTTGATTGTGATGCTGGTTTTTTTACCTGTCAAACTTGCAATGCGATTGGCACCCAATATCTTCCCGCTGGATATTTCGTAAGTTGGACCCATATTTTGTGGCACTTTCTTTTCTCTTATTCAGTTGCTTAATCTTTTTCTGATATTGGAAGTATTTGCATCTTGCAGTATATCTGACCCATTTACCGAGATTCCTGCAGACATGCTGCTCTTTCAAATCTGCATACCATTTGCTACTGAGCATTTTCGGTTGCGAGCAACAATTAAAGCACTTCTCCGCCAGTGGTTTAAACTGGTTGGTTGGGCACTAGGATTAACTGACTTTTTGTTGCCCAGACCTGAGGATAATGGTGGCCTGGAAAATGGAAATAATGGGCTGGTAAGGCAGGACAGACTACGTGATATACAACAAGGTGGAGTTGCACAGCAAGATCGACCCCTGGTAGCACTCATGGGTCCTGGAGATGCAAATAGAGGTATACATATGCCACCAAACTCCAATATTGGTGAAGAATATGATGGTGATGAGCAGGTTGATTCTGAGTAAGTATTTTGTCTCTAAGGCTGTACATAGTACCTACAATTTCATGGTTGATTAGACAGCGAAAATTTGAAATTACTTCAAGAGACAACTGCGCCACCACCTCGGTCTTGCTGGTATTCGAGGTACAGTAAGGGACCGAAGGGGCAATATATGCTGGACTTTTAGTGGTCCAATTGGCTTGGTTGACTCCACAAAGGCTGAAGTGATGGCTACTTTCACTGGAATCAGGATATTAAAAAAGTTTGGAATTCAGAACTTGATCATTGCAGGTGATTCAGCAAATCAGTGTTTTAAAAGTGCAAGGCGCAGGGGTCAATTTGCGCCTAAGGCGCAAGGCGCAAGGCGAGGCACGCGCCTTTTTGAAGCAAGGCGCAAAAATACAAAAAAAAATGCTAAAAAAATAAAAAAATGTTAGAAAATTCAAAAGAAAAGCCAAAAAATTCAAAAAAAAAAATTAAACATAACATTACTAAAAAATATAAAGTTAAATTTTAAAATAATGTTTTAAAAAACCTATTATCTAAAATTAAAATACATAAACATAAGATGTAAAGCATATTCAAATGAGAATTTAAAAATAAAATCAAACATATAAAACATTTTCAAGCATGTAAAAGCTCTAATCTCTTTTTTCACTCAATTGCAGTACTTCACATAGCTAATGTAATGTAAAATATATTACATTCCTGATTCTACGAGCTGCCTTTGTGCCACGCCCCTCGAGGCAAGTTCAAACAGGTCTACGTTAGGTCTTAAATTCTTAGTTTTCACACAAAAAAATAATGATGTTATAGTTTTAATTGCTTTTTAAGAATACATTTTATTAGGATGAATGAATGAACAACATTACCAAATTGGGGGTCCTTTTCAAGCATTAGGCGCATGCCTAGGTGCACCAGGCGTGCGCCTTTTGAAAGGGCTGCGCCTAGGACCTAGGCGAGGCGCATACCCTAAAATGTGCCTTGCCTGTGTGCGTAGGCGCATCTTTTAAATCACTGCAGCAAATACGATAAAATGGTTAAGAGACAAAGTGGGGGGGGGGTCCTTGGAGATTGAATCATTATCTGACTGAAACTTGGGATTCTTTGGATTGTTTGAATGTTAACTTAGTTTGGATTCCTAGGGAACACAATCATACTTCAGATGGCCTAGCTAAGTTTGGTGTGTACTTGGAGCCATTTGTATAGCGACAAGCTTCCTCCTTTGTAACTTGTAGGGGTTCTTCCCCCGCTTTGTATATCTCCCCATGTTCCCTCTCTTTTTCTTAATGAATTCTGGTTAAATTTTCTCAAAAAAAGAAATTACTTCAAGAGAATATTATACTTTTATGGTCCATTCTCATCCTTTTAAATATTTTTAGTTGCTGAAGGTTGGTGCACAAATGAAGGGTTGCACCACTTGGTCACCATGCACCTGGTGTGCCTTGAGCCTCATGCGGGTGCCTCAATTAAATTTTGCTCCTTTTACACGTTTTGAAGCATGGTGTTTCACTCACCGAAGCTCTAAGAACCCCCTTTTTGCTAATGTTCATTCATTCTTCTTAATACAAGATGTTTTTAAAAGATAAAGAACTATAATTAAAATTATGAAATGTTTTTTTTTTGTATAGATTGGAAGTTTCATATGCTTGAATTGTTGAGTGCTTGAATATATTTATGTGTTATGTTTTGCTTTTATTTTTGCATCTTCACTTTGAATATGTTTTATGCGTTATGTTTATTAATTTTAATTTGAGCTAATAGGCTTTTTAAAATATTTAGTTTAAAATTAAAGTTTGCACTTTTTAATTTTTTTGATTTATTTTGCATTTTTTTTTTGAAATCTTTAAAAGTTTTCTGCCTTGCTTCAAAAAGGCGCACACCTTGCCTTGTGTCTTGCACCTTGGGTGCAAAAAGTCCTTTGCACTTTTTTTTTCCATCTTGGATTTTAAAACATTGGTTTAACTACATAATTTTTATGGCTTAGTCAGATTGTAATTATGACTTAGATAGTAGCCTGTCAGGTATTTGGAGAACTGGAAATATATGAAAATAGTAGGTTATGTAGGAGAGCAGCTTGTGGAGATTTGGGGTTGGTGCAAAACATTGATGAAATGTTTCAGAGTATTGACTTTCGAACTGCTATCTCGAAATGAACAAAAAGAGAGCGCTAGCTAGTATTCTGACTCAAGATCATAATCCACCTAATCAATCTAAAGGAAGGTCAGAAGGGTTAGAGAACTTTCATGGTTTAGTGAGTGACGTTAGTGTTGGTGTACATTTTAGATTTTACAGTTTTTTTGTTGTTCGGGTACATTTTACATATTGCATTATAATAATATTCCTGAATATTCAGCAATGTCTTCTATTCATGGTGGTTTTCTTTCACTTGTGCTCTTTATCATGCTATGGGTTTTTGTCATGTAGGGTATTGCTGTCTTTTTCTTGGTTAGTTTGGTCTGGGGGGTTCATGTTTTACCCTTGGGAACTTACAAAATGTGAACTCTTAGCAGGTACAATTTTGTACTTCGGATCGTGCTGTTGTTGGTTCTGGCATGGATGACACTGCTTCTCTTCAACTCGGCCTTGATTATTGTGCCCGTTTCACTTGGACGTGCAATTTTCAATGCTGTTCCTCTTCTCCCGATAACTCATGGCATTAAGTGCAATGGTAATCTGGTTATAGATTCTTGTTTTTGATCTGCACCATTTATGCTTGTAGGTTGAAATTTCTGACTACTTCTTTCCTTAGATTTATATGCATTCGTCATTGGAAGCTATGCCATATGGACTCTTGTAGCTGGAGCCAGGTATTCTATTGAGCATGTTCAAACACGGAGAGCAGGTGTCCTTTTAAACCTAATTGGGAAATGGTGTGGAATCATCCTGAAAAGCTGTGCTCTGTTGTCAATATGGGTAAGCCATCTCACTGAGAAAGATAATATGTGGTTCAAACATTTTCTCTTTTCATTATATCTTTAATGTTTATTGTTGTGCTCCAGATATTCATCATTCCGGTTTTGATTGGTCTTCTATTTGAACTTTTGGTGATTGTACCAATGCGGGTTCCTGTGGATGAAAGCCCGGTTTTCCTCTTGTATCAGGACTGGGCACTTGGACTCATCTTTCTTAAGATCTGGACCAGATTGGTAAGTGTTCTATATGCTTCTAAGTCTTTGCCAACCAGAACTGGTGCTTACTGTCTGGTGCACACAAAGGGCTTATATACAGTGCAGGGTGGCTATGTAATGTAGCCACAATAGACATCTACCCAAAGATCTTGTGGCTCGAATGAAATTAATTGATGATGGAAACAAAGTTGACTATGGAGGGCAGAAACAAATGAAGTACGTTGGTGCATTCTTATAAGCTAACAAGGAAAAAATGATTTATTTTGTTATGGATACAGGTTATGCTGGATCACATGACACCTCTAGTGGATGAGAGCTGGCGAATAAAGTTTGAAAGGGTGAGAGATGATGGCTTCTTCCGCATGAGAGGGCTTTGGGTTCTGCGGGAGATTGTGGCCCCAATTATGATGAAGTTGCTGACAGCGTTGTGTGTTCCTTATGTATTTGCAAAAGGGGTCTTCCCTGTGCTTGGCTATCCGTTAATAGTAAACTCAACTGTCTACCGGTTTGCCTGGTTGGGTTGCCTCAGTTTCAGCTTCTTGTATTTCTGTGCTAAAAGATTTCATGTTTGGTTCACCAACCTTCACAATTCCATTAGGGATGATCGCTATCTAATTGGCCGAAGGCTGCATAATTTTCGGGAGGATACAGCAGAGAATGGCAGCGAGGCTGAGATTGTTCGAGAGACACCAAATGTAAATTTGCAGAATGCTGGATTAATCCAACGTGAGCAAGAGGCTGATGTGGGGGTGAGACTGAGGCGAGCTAATTGGCATAATCTCCAAAATTAAAGGCTGGATGTATAAGTTGGGTGCAGTGGCCGGACGATGAAGTGGATGGAGGTCTTGTGGATAAGCATAGAGCTTGATGACTAGCCAGTAGCTTCTTTCTGTGTTGGGATTTCTCCCCATGGTTGTTTGGGGGAGAGGCGGAGAGCTATTGAAGAGTAGATCAGATTTACCTTCTGAAACGTGATTTTGCTATCACGTCTATAGCGGATGAAGAATAGCAACAATGAGCTCTGGAAACATGAAGTACAAACGGTAATGTTTCCTGATTAATATATGATTCAACGTCTAAATTAATGACTGTTAATTTTGAATTGTGCCTCTTGATCATATCCGATCGAATCGTGACCGTTGATGAGATCAACGGTCAGCATTGTACCAAAATCAAAGCCGCCATTTGTGAGTCACGTTGGTGCGCCCGAAGTGCGTCTTTAAAACGCCTCATTGCATCACATACATGCACGTCGTGTGCGTTGCGCGGTATCAAACCCCCATTCTCCTTTATTATTTTTAAGGACTGAAAATCAGTTTCTATTAAAATACTGAAAACAAAGCTTATAGTTTTTCAACGTGTGACAAGTTCAAAACTAGGTTTTGTAAGAAAAAAATTAATTTTTCAGTCAAGTGTGTAAGTACAATTTCTCCTGTAATTGGCCAATCAAACCCATTGGATTTAATCTCTTATGAGATTAAAATCCAACAGGGGTGGGTAGAGTTTTAGTGAGTGGGAGATCCGGAGTCTCTTCATGCAAAAAGGAATTTGGATCTGCTGGTCATGTTCACCCAATTGCACATCTGAAATTTGGATCTGCTAGATGAGAGCCTGACCAACAATGTAATGTGGTTGAGATCAGCCTCAGTGCTCACAAGACTACTCACACCGTTTGCATAACCTTAAGTCATGCATTGTGAATATTTATACTTGTATCCAGAATAACTGCGAATGACGGAGACGGAGGATGTGAGCCCTGAAGCCTATTTCGTTGTTGTCAGCCAATCCCCTCTTCTATACTACAAGCGTGTCCTTTCTAGCAAATAACTGGTCGAAACATCTATTCCATTGCCTTTAAAGTATGGAACCTTTGTACGCTTGTTATAATTGATCCCAACTTTCTTTTTCGGTGAATTAATGCACTCCACGGAAGAACTCTGAAATTATAGCTCTTTATAGTCTATTAGTAGCACGGCATACGGCAGAATTAAGAATTCTGGGGTGTGCTCTCAATCTCATAAACATTGGATGCAGCGTTAAAAACCTAAAACTTCTATCATATTCTCTGCATCTTTATTTCCAGATTTTGGGCACAAGTGACAGACGAGATGGCTGTCGCCGGTCGTGGTCGTGGCAATTACATGTGGGTGATGAAAACAACATTTAGTGGTGTTTGTCCAAGGAGACTGCTTCCATAAACTCCTCATCCGACTCCAGTGCGCTCATTTTCTCAGGTGAAAGGCACACCTCCAAATCCACGCTCCCTCCCCCTTCTTTTCCTGGGAATGACGATACCTTTCCGTCGAACTTGTTAGCAAACCCACTTCGAATTGCTACTCCTTGTCCCCACCCAAAATCATTCCCTCCATACATGTCAAATCTAGGCGAGCTTCCAATCATCACGCTGTATGGATCAAAGAATCGTCCGATCTGGTAGAGTGAAGGGGCCTTCATCCATGTCTCCAACCAGCTGCGCAACACACTGTCCGTGTGATTGACCACAGCCTGATGCAACATCCAAGCTGCCCACCCAAGATCATGGCTTAGTAGTTCACCTGCTGTGGTGGTTCCGCTCACTGTCTGAATGCAATTGCCGAAGTAGTCTGGCGATATTGGCGGGTTTAATCTCGTTCTGTTGTTGATAGCCAACCTGCAGCTGGTTTTTTGGTTAGAAGGTAGATTACGCACCCGCGTCACGGACCTCCAAACCAGTGCACACAAAGACTGGAACGTGGAGATGACGGTAGTCTTGCTTTCTGCATTTGCCCTTGCTTTCAGTCTTGCCAAGGATTGTGGTGAGAAGTGGAATATCCTCTCTCTCAGTGGGGGTGGTCTGTATCTGTCAATGAATTCGCTGTGGTGAGTGAAAGGCAGGTTGATGATGGGACCTTGGCCGTCGGGGAACCAGCGCTTCAGTACGGGCGGGCGTGAGATATAGTCCTTTCCTTGGTCCCTGGTGAGCTCGGCCCAGGTGTTAAAGAAATGCCAGAAAGAGGTACCATCACCAATGGTGTGGTTGAAGGAACAACCTACGAATACACCATCTAGTAACTCCGTCACCTGCACAGCAAGCAGAGGCATAGTGTGGCCATCGTGGTTGACAGCTCCATCATGGGTAAAGAAGGACTGGACAAAATGGGGTACGTCGATTGGGGAGAGGACATCGGCTACCGTCACATCTGCAACTGCGTGTATAAATTCGGCTCCGGGAGAATCTTTGCAGTCAACGAAAACTGTGTAAGGAGGAGGGTTATCTCGTTTCTGTACTGTTACGAAGCGACCGGCAAGGGGGAAGAAATGAACCAGTGTGCGAGAGAGAGAGTGTTTGAGGCGATTAATGATGGCATCGATGCTGGGATAGTCTTGGTTGTCGGAAGGTGGAGGTTTGGCGAAGAGAAGACCCTTTTGGATGTAGTGCACGGTGAGCATGGCGAGATCCCATGGGTTCAAGTAGTAAGGCTGGCTTGATTCATCGGGAAGATGCGCTGGTTTGACGGAGCATCTAGAGATGTGACGAACAGTAACAGGAGTTGTCATGGCGTTGTAACCTGTGACACAACACAAGTTTTGATGGACTAGCGGATCTCTCTCGCGCTCTCTCTTCTTCTCTTGATTTTATACATACATGACCAACTTGTAGCGCAAGACGCCAGCGAGCCAAAGAAGTAGGTAAGCTCCATATATATAACTGTTGCGACTGAAGTAGGTAGTAAGTGCAATTACTTGGAACTTTCACTAGCTTTTTCACAACTGCATTAACCTTACTTGAACTTTGACCAGTTTATACATTTCGATTAGGGTTTTTAGCATAGCATATAAGGGCAATTTTTGGGTTTAATATCAATAAAAATAATATATTTAAATCAATTTAAAAAATAGATTAATTTTTTAAAAATAATATTAATAAAGGACAAAAATATTATTCATCATCTTCTTCTTGCCATTTGTTCACCGTCTGCCACTGCCCGCCACCACCGTCCGCGCTGCCGCCTTCACCTCCGGTAACGTTGCCGGAGGTGGCGGCGGCGGCGCTGGTGATTTCTCTATCTAACGCCTTCACCTTCAACAACGTTACCGGAGATGGGTGGAGACAGAGGTGGCGGTGGCGGCGGGCAGAAAAATAATCATCAAAACCGCCGCCGCCACCTCTGTCTCCGGCCACCTCCGGCAACGTTTCCAGAGACGGGGGCGGCGACGGGCGGCAACGTACGGCGGCGGATGGTGGCTCTGATGAACAAATGACAAGAAGAAGATGAACGATATTTTTATTCTTTATTGATATTATTTTTAAAAAGTTAATATATTTTTAAATATATTAATTTTCTTAATATCAAATCTCAAAAGTTACCCTTCTATGCTATTACCCCCTTAAACTTATCCCTTAATTCAACGCTAGGAATGAGCACAGATCTGTTGAGAGCAAAACAATTATGGCTACGAGTATGAGCATGCTTTTAAGGGCGGTTTACTTTATTTTTTTTCAACATGTGCAACACCCAAATCGGAGTAAAAAAAATGTGGTCCAACATGGCGAAATTTGCAATTTGAGTGTCCACTGAAAACCCTAATTGATATTCTTTGAAAGGGTTATTCTTTATTCGGGCTATTGTATACAACTCAAGATTCGGTCTTACCTCTTGAGTGCTTGACAGCGAGTACTACTACTAATTCCTACCATTTCATCCCAACCCACGTTGCCTTGGGGGTTAGACAATTGACAAATGGTGTCTCGTATGTGTGTGGGTGGAGGAAGACCATTTACCAGACCGTTGTTAATTTATATAATCTCTATAAATAAATGCACGCAACCACACGCTAGATGCACCTATTTAGCTAAAGTGACAAGCGACGAAGGTCCCCATTGAATTCGTCAATAGTCCGTTGAGCTAGTGGGCAGGAGATTTGGGCTCGTTGATGTAGGTGGTTGAATCGTCAATTCATTTGACTCCTTTTTTTTTGGTCGTTTTTTATTTTTAAATTTTTTATCAGACCGAGTTATTCGTTTGAATTGGACTGTCAAACCATTTGACTAAAAATCGGTGACTAAAACCGTTTTAATTCTAGATCGATTTTTAAAACATTGTTATAAACCACTGAATCAGAGGCAGAACGGCCAACACAGGCAACCCCCGAACCCGAACTCTGGTCATTATGCTTCTTGGATCCGCCCATTCGCCCGGCTCACTTATGATAATGTAAAAAAGGATGCATGGTGTCCGTAATTTATAGCCTAGACTATCAGATTAGAAGTAGAAAGTTAGAAACTTGAGCTACCGCTCAGTGGCTGTGAATTGTTGAAATTTGCAAGATTCCATGGAATTCAGATTTCCTCACTGAGTGTGACTCACACCAACCTTACAGTATACAATACATCGCAGTCATATATTGAGAATATCTTTTATATTTAATGTTATCGTTCATGGAAAGATGTTCTTAATACACGACTGTGAAATTGGGGTGAGGCACGCTCATGAGAGAAGGAAATCCAATTTCCATGGAAGAAAATTTCAACAATCAAGTTTCTGCTATCTGAATGTATGGTAGTGATGCATTGTAAGGTTGGTGTGAGGCATGTGGGGAGCAAATTCGTTATGTTACACGTGATCTCACCGAAGGTTTTTAAAATTGACTCAGACAACAAACTGGTCAAGGGTCCAGCTCCAAGGTCAAACGGTCTAACAATTTGAACCGAACAACCAGCCCATTTTGACAAAAAATTAAAAAAAAATAAAAATTGGTCAAAACCATTGAACAGTTCGAACGGTTCAACTGCCTAAGTCAGCGGTTTACTAACCAAATCAACGTTTTTTGGCAAAAATCTGATTTTGGGAAAAAAATGGAACCGACCACCCCGGTCCGGTTTGGTTTTGAAAACCATGATCTCACCCCTTTAGCTAGTTTCTTGCACTTGATAAAGGATAATATCAAGACTCAAAGGAGGAGGTACATGTGATGATGTGAAGGACCCCCCGCCCCATACCCCTTAATAGAATATTCCCATATTTTCTCCATTTTTAAAATTTTTTCTTATTTTCTTTTGTTTTAAAAATATAAAACAGTAATCATTGCTTATTTTGATTAAATTAATACAGTAGCATACTATTAGAGAGAGACCTTTGGGTTTTCCAAGGCCTCTTATTTTAATGCATGTTATTATTATATTTAAAAAAAAAGACATTTTAGAGAAAGAGACCTTTGGGTTTTCCAAGGCCTCTTATTTTAATGCATGTTATTATTACATTTAAGAGAGAGAGAGAGTGAATAGTAATAATCAAGGTTCAAAGTATCGAAACGATATGCTCGGTCGTTTTGGGGTCCAAAACGCCTGTTTACAGGTGTTTAGGGACCCCACTCTTTTTTAATAAAAAAAATATGTTAAAATATCTTCCCAAAAACCAAATTTTGAAAAAAAAAAAAAACAAAAAAGCCATTTTCGCTTGTATCTAAGTATCGATACACCTCTATTGATACACATAGGTGTATTGATACTTTGAACCTTGGTAATAATATAAATCAAGATTCCTAAAACCAAACCGGACAATGAACCGGTCAAAGGTTTGGTTCTCAGGTCGAATGGAAAGACCATTTGAAACGAACGAATGCTTGTTCTGACAAAAAAAAATAAAAAAATAAAAAACAACCAAAACTGTTAGACGATTCAAACGGTTTGACCACACGGGCCAACGGTTTGCTGACCAAATCAACGATTTTTGGCGAAATAACAGTTTTTGGGTAAAACAGAACCGGTCACCTGATCGGTTCCCAGTTTTTCCGGTCTGGTCCGATTTTGTAAACCATGATATAAATCAAATAATATAAATAGGTTGAGGTTAACAAAACTTAGTAAATATTAAAAATGTGTTTCAATTCCACTTAATAAACGCTAATAAAAATAAGAAATTTAAATATAAAAATGTTAATTGATACTTTTAATAATATTATTAGATAACTTATGAGTTGAGACCTTAATAAACTCTAATAAAAAATATTAATTGATAGTGTTAAATTTCAATAATTAATTAAAAATTCAAAAAAGTATAAAAACCTAAACATAATTAAAATACTAAAAATAATTAAAAATATTGAAAATTAACAATATTTTATATTAATAAGGGTATTTACTGAAAATAATTAAAAAGTACAATTAATATAATTTTATTATTAAAAAATACATAAGCCAAGAATTATTGAAAAATATTGAAAATTAGTTGTATTTTCTATTAACTATGGTATTTATTTAGTTACTTAATTTACTTTTAGTGAAAGCAAATGCAAACTAGTTTTGTAGTGACTAATATGCAAAATTAAATGATAAAAATATTGAAAATACCGATATGCAAAAATTACTAAATAATAATGAAAAGAAAAACCAAAAATTAATTAAAATCCCAAAAATTCTGAAAAACCTAAAGCTTAATTAAAATATTAAAAATAATTAAAAATTTAAATTAAATGTATTTTATTATAAAAAGTACTAAATAATAATGAAAAAATAATGTATTTTAATTATTAATAGTAATATAATTAACAATAATTATTTTTAAATTTTAATTAAAAGTAATTATAATTAAAGTTATAAATAGTAGAAAATTACATTAATTACCAAAAAGTTATATTTAATTATAAGAAAATTACATTTAATTAGTTTTAGCCAAGAAATTAACAACATTTCTAAAAATATGATAATTTCTAGAAATTTAATAATTATAATATTTTAATAGCTAACAATGTTTTAATAATTAATAATAAAAATTAACAAATTGTTTATAACTTAATCTAACTCAACTAGATTTATAAATTTGCAAGCTCATGCAACTATTTTAATCTAGAAATTTGCAAGCTCAATTAGATTTAATCTAATTGGGTACCAAACTTTTGGGTATCAAACATTTGGAAGTTATATGCAAATATGTTGTTATTATTATATAATATTTAAATAAAAAAATTATATTAATATATATAGAAATGTTATATGTTTTTTATATTAGACTAGAATTAAATAAAAAAWTTAATTTGTAAAAAATCATAGTTTTATAATTAACATGGGCCTCTTTATTAATAGAAAATGTGCAAGCCCGAGCCCGAGCCCGACCTAGCCAACGGGCCTTGATCAACAACCCTTATATAAAGCTCGAAGCTCGAGCCCAAGCTTGAAGCCCAAGCCCGAGCTTGAAGCCCAATCTGTACACAAAATGTCTTATTTTTAGTATACTTTTATAAACTAATATTATATTTCCTAATAGTAAACCGATATTTATTAATAATTTAAGAAGCATATATATATATATATATAACATAAGTTCTTTTTTATATATGTAATAGTATCGGGCTAGGCTTATTTGAAAAAGCCCAAATTCGAGCCCACGAGCTTGAAATTTTGTCAAAGCCTGAAAAATAACAGGTCAGGTCGGGTCGGGCCGTCGAGCTACCTAGCCCATGAATAGTTCTAATTGTAAACATAAACGATTGTATACATAAAAAATCATATGAAATAAAATTAAAACATCTTTTTCATTTTTTTTAAAAATGGACCTCTCATAGATTGGCCCGGTCCGTAGCCTATCCTGACCTAAGGCTTGACTCAGCATGACCCAATTTATACCTTTACTTGAACCCGTCCAATACTGAGGGCGGGGCAATGAAATTCGAGGATTCCCCATCCTTGATGAGGACTAGGTGTCTTGCCCTTGAACTCGCCCGTCATTGAGGAGTGATT